TCTTACGTTCTATAACCCATAACCAATGTTTCTCCTTTCAACACAAATCGCTGATTATTGTTATCGCTGATTGACATTTAAAAAAATCGGGGTTAGGTAAAATTGTTCCAATAAGCCATAACGATTTTTTAATGTTTTTCTATAGAAAGGTCACGTGGATATCCCATCTCTAGGTATCTATTCTTGAAGTTAAATAAGTTCACCTATATGAATTGACGGGTGTCTTTCTTAACGAATGTTGATGTGGTGAGGAGATCGAACTAAAATATACCTAATTTTCACTTTAGGGGATTGTACCTGATATTCTCAAACCTTATTTTGGTGTCATAATTTCGTCGACTTAATCGGATTTCTACATACGATTGTCGGCAAGTGATTGTTTCTTTGATCTATCATGTCGCTGATCCTAAAAAAAATCCGGATATTGGGGTAGAAACCCTTTAAACAGGTGAGCCATAACCTTACTTTTCACGTTTTTGCGATCCTAAATATCACGTTTTCCTTTCTAATTTTTGCCAGGTTCTAGTTTATTCTAATTTATTTCTGAAGGTCTTATCTTTCTGCTATTTGCAAGAGCTATAATTAGATCTAAGAGGCACTAGTCGCTGCTTGTTATTTCATTATTTATGCTTCTATTTAGCCATGCATGACTTTACTTAAAATCAAGTAAACCTACATTGTTTAATAGCAGCCTTTATTCCTTGTATGACTGTTATACATGGTTTCTTCTGCATTATTGGTGTTAATTTGGTATTTATCTAGTTTTGGTACATGCTCACAATGGCCACAATGCTCACATGATCTCTACTTTGCTGTTTTCTTAATAGGCGTTGATCTCTCTATGTTTAGGTTAAGCTCAACAAGCGAACGAACCAGTTGGTGATCACTGCCAATAGAGAAGTTGCTTAGTGCTACATGCACGTACAATATTTTTTTCTGTTTGACATTATAAAATCTATATGAATATTTATGTTGCCGTTTGGGCTTTCCCAAGTCCATTTTTGTCGCGGTTTGTTTTGGAAGAATGTGTTCATGGCGTATAGGTATCAACACGAATTTCACCTCTCCCGTTCCTTGTTCCGTATCCATGACAACCCTCTCGGATCGGAGTTACCTATTCTCTTTTTGGCACAGTTTTGCGTTAAAATCAGGCATCGACACGGTATAATGAGCGGTTGTCTTATTTAAAGCAGATTCTATGTTCTTTTAGAAATTTTGCAATTCGCTATCCGTGTCGGTGGATGTTGGGGCGTAAACCTGTATAATTTTCAAGGAAAAGCTGGTATTTGGCCTGCCTGTAGACAAGATGCATTACCCTAGTAATGATATCTTTGAACTGAATGATCTTGGTTACATCTGTTATGTATCCAGGAAGCCTACGCCTCCATCATTTATGTTGTTTTATACCGACTTAGTGAAACAAATGGCTTGAGTGTAAAGTGTAATACTAGTTCTCTATTTTCCTTTATATTGTGTTCACTCACACCAGTATGTCCTATTTTATTTGGGTGAGCTCTTTCTCCATTTCTTTTAGATTATCGGGGCTTGAGAGTGTTCCAGTATGTATATGTATAGTATAGAGTCGCAATATACAGTTATAATCTATGGTAGCCTGACTTAACCCCAACCTGGTGATTCTTCGCTCGCTCTGCTTGCTCTCTTGTCTGGACGCTAGCGTTCATCATTTACGGAGAAATTTAGTCATAAAATACTCCTACCGCGTTGGCCAATGCGTTTGGCAGGGTGGGTAGGTGAAATAAGACAAGGAAATAATAGATTTAGGTTGGTAAAGGAAACTGGGGAATGAGATAAGGGTGCATTCAGGCGGCTCCAGCGGCTGAGGCTGCTTAGTAAGAAGCCCAACTGAAAGCAGCGATGCGTAAAAGTTTCACGTTTCACGTCAGCGGCTGACTGTTTTGCTCAGCATAGAGAATTGTCGCTTTTAAAAAAGCGAATTGCGGTATGTGACATTTTTGACAAAAATTAGGTACTTTTGAACTAAAATTTATACCCAGAAAACACATTATATCTATTAGAGATCGGGAGGTTGTCTTTGATGGATTTCCAATGGATATAGGTGGATATCCTTTAGGTATCCAATGGATATCCAAATTTCCGGCTATATCCAGGATATAGTAAATATCCATTAGATATCTAAGGTGATACCCAGTGGTTATCTAATAATATCTAATAGGTATTGATAGGATATCTTTTGGACATAATTAACATATCTATTAGATATATTGTGAAGCGATTAAAGGGTGCGTTAATGTCCTTGAGAATCTGTCAATTCTGTGCTCTGATTGATTGATTTTTCTAAATTCGTCTGCAAATAGAAAAAAGACTCACATCAGAATTGGTTCAAATTTGGCATAAACATTCTTTGATCGATTACCCATAATACCAATGCTTTAGTTTTTCGATATTTTGCGCACACTTCTCAAAATGAAGAATAAATCGAAAAACTAAAGTATTGGTATTGTAGATAATCGATCAAAAAATGTTTATGCCAAATTTTGAACCAATTCTGATGTAAGATTTTTTTTCTCCTTTTAAACGAATTTTACGAAAGCAATCAGAGCAAATAACTGCCAGATTTTCAATCAAAGAAATGAGAGCAGCTCCTTCTGATATTAGATATCTAAAATTTGGGATTGGGGAATACATAATTTGGGCTACATCAAAATTTTCCTAATTTACTACAGGTAAACTATGTTAAGTCACTAAAATATGTTTCAAGTCGCATGTCATTATCAACTTCACTAGTGGTAAAGTATGTTAACTCACTAAAACTAATTACTACTGGCATTTTTTCTGAATCAAATAATAATTCCTATTACTTCACTAAGACATAATTCCATAAGCGAAATATCAGCTCACTAAATTATAGGGTTTCGAAGAGATACCTAATTTTCATGATTTACAATTGATTTTGGCTCTCCTGAAAAAATATAACATTATGACTTGATACACTTTACCTCTGAGGCACAGAATATAGTAATATTAATATAAATCCTCAGAACATAAAGATGTTTCTTTAAATCTTTATTATTATTATTCTTTATAAACATAATGGGTGGTGTGAATAAAAACGAAGTAGGTACTTGCTACTACTACAGATAGTAGTATATTCTACGAAGTATTTACTTCACAAAGAAGGATATACTATTTTCACTAGAAGAAACATAAGAAGTTATTAACCTATTTTTTGGTGTCTTTTTCCCAAATTTCTAGCCTCTGGCATAATGTAGAATGTAACTAAATATGAAATTATCAAAGAAAATAGGACAGTAATATACACTCACACATGTTTCCTATAAATTGCCTTCTTATATTAAATTTGCCACCAATTTTATCAATTTAGCCTTCGATAAATCAGCTTGGGCTCCAACAAAAACTTTCAACCTTTGACCTAATCAAATAGAACTTCACTAGTAGAAATGCAAAAACAGTGAAAAAATTTACTTACCAAGTCAGTAGGTAGGTATTATGTACCTTTCTTTCACGCCTTCATTAATCGTTGAAATCGTGCACGGGAAAAACGAACGAAAAACGTGGAACCCTAATATTATCCTTGAAAATAAAAGCATAAGAAATAGGTAGGTAGTAAATCTCTAGTTTTCGACGGTTCTTGGGAGAATTGGTTCATAAAATAGGCTTTGTTGTGTTGGCAAAAAAAGGAGAAAGGCGCGGGCGGGCGCTGGAGGACAACAAATATGAACTATTTACGCCATAACACATAGCATTCCGAGTGTTGATTTGTTATAATATAATAAATTTTGTGTAAGCCAACGAAACTCAATGAAGAAATGAAAAATTTCAAGATCATTGGCTGGCTGTCTTACTTTTCCATGTCTTCCTATCCACGAAAAAGCTGGTCGGTGGCACATCATTATTGGGAGAGGAGGGGTATCTTGGGGCTATCTTAAGCAATTATTGTTATGATTATGCCCTTACTTCATTTCGCAACAAAACCTTCTTGCAGATTTTCATCAAAAATATTCGCCCAGATGCCCAATCACTTGATTAGTAGAAAAATCATTCGAATTTGGACCTGTTGGATAGAACGCGGGTCAATGCCTGAGCGGGCAGCCCATCGTTACGTATAGGTTCCTACAATATAATGCCACCGAGGGTTTCTATCTTTCCATATTTGAAAAAGGGCTTGCCAAATAAATATAACTGTATATTTTTGAAATGGAAATGCAAATCTAAATATGAGCATAACAGAGCGTTGCATTCATAAAAATTGTTTACCTTTTTGACGTTTGCAATCAATATTGTTTCGGATTTTTGACAAGAAAATTTAATGAATACGAAAAAAAACATACAACGTTTGCATTTCATTTATTTTTCTCCTATAACTTTTTAAATAACCTCTGTAGGTACGTATGTGGGTATATAAAAATATAAGTATACGAAAAAACCCAATATATACCTTTAAGTAAAGTATTTGGCCTCCTTTTGGGAAAATTTTCAAAACCAAATATGATATACCTAATTTGTTTAGTCTGGATTATATTTTAGTGGGTGGGGTGCATGGAGGGCTTCTTAGTACCGAGTACCGGTCGGACGATAATAAACTTTTAAATTTAGAAAAATTAAATCATTCAGTTTTGATTCAAATAAGGCAAAAACTGATTCTCTTATTCACAATAATTATAAAAACGCGTTCTAACCTAACCTGTGAATCGTAAATCTGGTTCAGAATTATTAATCCTTGATAACTGACATTCTTATATCAAAAAAATTGCCTTAATTTGAATGCATTATTCAATTTTATATTATTAATTTACTGAAATATATTTTTAGTATCACTGAGCAAAAGAATCTCTTATTAATAGAGTTGGTATAATTGAAAAAGTGCATCAAGAAATAATTTTGTAACAAGCATATTTCCACCCTAAAATGACGACATAAATAAGAAAGAGGTGGGGAGCTATGACGTCACGATGATGCCAATAGCAAGCTCCGTAAAGCTATAATTAGCCGAACGAACTAGAGTAAGAAGTTTTAGTAATTTAGTTTCCGGTCAGGGAGTCATTCTCCCCTGCAAAAGCAAAACAAACTATGCAGGTGTTAACATTATGCAAGTTGGTGCGGGTATATAAAGAGAGGAAATAAAAGAGAATTTCCATTTTCGGTGAGAATTTCAGAGAGCGTGGTACAAGAAAATACAGCGCTGCTCTGCCAGATCAATATTATACTGTGACCGTCCCTCCTCTATCCACAAAATCAGTTTCAGCTTCAGTTGAGGTAGAAAACAGTCGCGCTCTATTGCTGTGTTTCCGAGAGCGACGTGGTCGCAATTTGCAATTTCTATAATCGAGGATGATTGTGGTTACCTAAAAAAAATTATCGACAATTTTTTTTTGTCAGAGAAATGGTGACCCGGTTTATTTTCATCGTCTTTCTTCAAGCCATTTGCTTTACCATGTAAGTTGAAATGTTTACACTGTTTTAGTTAACATGATTAGGTACTTGTATTTTTATTTGGGTTTGGCCCCTTACCTATGTTTTATTATTTTTTTTTTCGAATTGAGTTTTGTGGTGTTCAAGATATAACTGGAGATTAGGAGATATTTGTTTGTTTATCGGCTTATTTTGTATTTGTTTAGGTACAATTAAATATCAAGCGTAATTTTTCAATTTTGCGTTCATTTACAGTTTCTCTTTTATTTACTCCAAATGTACAATTTTTGAGCTAAAAATTTGAAACCTAGGTATGTGCCTATCGAACGGTGCCCATTTGACCTATATTTAGTTATGACCAGTATGAAATTTTAAAATGGGATCTTTTAAAAATTTCCCTCTTGTGGGTGATTGTAAGATTTGTGAAATTCGATGCATGCATTCCAATAGGTACTAGGTAGTTGGTATGTATTTTTTAACACATCGCCTGCCTCGTCTGGCATATTTGATGACAGACAGTGCTACTTCCGGAGGGGCCACGTCTGTCATATATGCAAGACAGACAATATTCACTACCAGGCCGCGTCTTGCAGATATGCCAGACGCTACGCGCTTTATCTTATGGGTTATTAATCTGTGGCCTGCCACGAACATGTTGGTATATTTGGTTTGAGAAAATTCGAATAATTACTATTTTTTTTCGAAAAAGTAAATGAAACATCATAATTTTAGGTTTTTATTCAAAAATATTTATTTCAAACTCACAAAACAAAAAATAAACGTCATTTGAGGAATTGGAATTATGTTCTAGCTTCTAAAAATACAAATAAAAAGCTAATTTCTAGAAAATTTATACAGTTATAACTGATTATGATTTGTATTGAAACAATCTAAATATTTTTGTGGTTTATCTGGGCACTTGTCACAATAGATATAGACCATCTTTGATTGATATTTAGCAACTTTTCAACTTAATGTCATATGTGCCAGACGCGGCCTCCTACGGTGAAAAAATCTGAAAATTACCGTGAGGGGCCACGTCTGGCATATATGAAAGACATTACAAAAATGGAAAAAAGACCAAAATAATGAATGAAATAAAAACCTTTGACACATCTCTGAGATACAGGCGTTTAATATTTCTATAAAAAGTGGATATAAATACTTTCGATACAAATTATTTTGCACGTACCTACGTACTTTTATGAGCTATAACCGAGACTATAACAGTTTAAATTCACCTTATAATAACTTTTTCAAAAGGTTTGAACATCTACCATATCAAAATACGTTGCCATAAATAGGATGTCCCAGAACTGGAGCCCTATCTGCCAGGTGCTTATGCAACAGCCTTGGATTTTATGTCGTCAGTTTTGACGTTATATAAAAATGTCAACCTCAAAGTGAATTGAAATCTAAGAAAGTGCGTTATACGAGCCAGTTAGGTATACTGATATCTAACATCCATTCCTATAGATAATTTTCCACCAAATATTCGTTTCTGCAGGTTAATTTTGGAACAACCCACGAAAAATACGTTAAACTGACTCCACATAACCCACTTCAAGAAATACGGTCACGAGAAATTGTCTCTAGTGTTCCAGATATTTGATAAGTGATGTTCATAAACGTGTCGTTGATCCTTACTTTCCTATTGTGTTTATAGGGTTGGGATAAACGTAATCTCTAATATCATCATTGAAAATAAATCTAAACTGGTTAGGTTGGGAAACTTGCTGGTCAACTTGCCAGGGGCGTTCGTTCCATAGTTCCTTTGTGCACATTGTCCAAAGTTTGAACCATATTCCAAGCAAAATGCACTCCTGCCCTGTCATGTTGAAGCCAAGAGTTTCTTGAATCATCCAATGGAAGGTCTTTTAACAAATCCTGAAGTGTAATAGCTAGGGATTTAGGGAACGTTTATGAAACTCTCCGTCGCGGAAATTCGACATGTACCTTTTATCTACAAATATAGAAATGAAGATAGACGAATTATATGTGCATTCAAAGTTTGAGCAGTAAGGATCATTATGAGTATCTACTAAAACTCCTACCCATAAATTAATTTTAATAACTAAGAGAATCTTCTTTTTAGGCGACTGTCACAAAAAGATTAGTTTTACGGATTCAATATCATCCCTAAAGTATATCTTTTTTGGCCGCATTTACTTTACGGCCGCATTCACTTCACGGCCGCATTTGCTTTATTACTTTACGGCCGCTTTTACTTCACGGCCGCTTTTACTTCACGGCCGCTTTTACTTTACGGCCGCTACTTTGGTGAAAATAAACAATTTTTTCTATAATCACACTCTCTTTATCCTAGTTTTTGTTATTAATAATTGTGTATCTACCTATCTTTGCTGGATTATTTATTTGATCAATAAAGTTTAAAGCTACTGTTGAATTTTATTCTTTTTTCAAGAACAAACACTCGCCTAAAAAATTTTGTGTGCACCTCGGCCGAATGATCTTTTTTGGCCTCACCTGAAATTTGCTTGACCTCGGCTGCGCCTCGGCCGCAAATTTCTGATTCGGCCAAAAAAGATCAACTTTACGGCCTTGGTACACAAATAACTATTTTGACACTATAGCACTACCGCCTGGCGATTTGAAGACACTATCCGCCATTCTTCAATAATTTTTTTTTTTAACAAACGCCCAATTTTCTGTGTTTCTTCAGAATCCAACGACTAGATTAGACTTTTGCAGGATAATCATCTGGGATCAAATACTGGACACGAGTATGATAAAAAAGGTCTCGCTTGTCTCCTTCAATTATTTTGTATAGCTCAGTCACTTCTGCTATTATTCTTATTTCTGGGAGAACTGTGGAGTACACTCACATCAAGTTCTTTATCGTACCAGTGGAATATACGGCTTCTTCTTTTTCGACCCTTTTTTGTGGTTGTATACGCAACTACCTCTCCTTTTTTGCTTGGGACTGATGTTCCAAATTCACTCATCTTAGTGTCTCTTTAAGCATTAAGACGGGCAGCGTTTGTCGCCTTTCGTCCTGCTTTGCCATACTCTATAACATATCGGTTCCGCTTTTCATCCGGTAAGAAATTTTCAATTAGTCTTCCGCGAATCTGGAGCTAGAGCATACACACCCTGACGGATGGCGCGCAATTTCTACGACACCCTGTATATTATGCACACTATGCATCACCATTACGCAGCTACATAGTCAAATATACGACATACGTCTCCTCAAGTTTTCTCCAATCAGGCCCAGTCCAAAAATTTCTCTGCTACTTTGTCTATATCGTCTCTCTATCTTTGTGTTCCACGGTTCGCCTTATCGTGATCACCACAATGTAGCTTTCTTTGGTCCGCCTACTGGTCTGAGGTCTGGATAGGTGGTCAGTACATTGTCATTTCGGACTAGCAATACGATGTGATACGTCTTGTTCTATTGTTCTGGCATCGTTTGATTTTTCCTTAGCTTCGTTGTTTTAGAGAACAAGTTTTTTATGCGTAGGATATTGGTAGACATTGATCAAAACCTTTTATCTTCAGGTAGTTTCGCAGTAAACACCGTTTTTCTTATTTACAGTTTGGTGCCAATGATAACGTTATTTTCCTGTCTATTTCAACTTTTTTTGAGTCATCTGCTATTGTTATCTTCTGGCCTACATAGGCATTTACCACTCTCCACCATTTTTTCCAGGTCAGTCATGTTAGGCATTTACCACTTCTCCAAAATTTTATCCAGGTCAGTCATGTTATCAATCAGCAGCACAACAAATTTCAATGTTTGATGCTATTTATACCAAATTCATACCTATGTTTTACTACTGAGATATCTTCATTAATTCAGAATAATCGTGGCTAATACCTCTGTTGAATATTTTAATGTAAGGTTTCTCATCTCGGCTCAATTAGACATCTCCCTTATGAATGAATGATCGCACAACTTTCGAACGTCTTTTCATAATTTACGAATATTAGTAGGTATAACGGCTGATTGAAACAAGGTTGTGTATACAACCAACTGTATTGTATCTCTCTGCCTATAGATCCTGCCTGTTTTGATATTCTCAATTAGGTATACCGACATAAATATATTGACAACTTTCATATAGGCACGTGTAGGACAAGCTTCCGAAACTGTCTACATGAAATGCGACTATCTCTAAGACTTTAGAAGTTTTGAAGATGAAAAAAAAAAAACAAATTTTAGTGTATGGTCGTATAAATCTTATAGTGCATACTATACACACAATTTTTGCTAATTTGGATAGAAAATTACATTCCTAGTGTAGAGTAGTGTAGTGTAGACAAAATACGTTCCGACGAAAATAGATACACGGTCCATTTTAATCTTTCTTAACTTTCTGATACGTAGATAACTGGTTTCAGGAAACAATAATACGATCTGTTATTTTAGTGTTAACACAGAAGTGCACCCCTATTCTTAGTGACGCACCCTTTGCCCTAAAAAATAGAAAAAGCTCATATTCCACCATCACCTAAGAAAGCGTTTTAAAAGTATTTTTGTTTGACAAGACCATTAAAAGGAAGTTCCTGATGGAAAGAGTTCGTCGTTGTCCTTTCAACGGATCATGATTTAATTATGATAGAAATAAAATGATTTTTCAATTTTTTTAGGGTGTGCTTTATTTCGCGCATTGAGGTCAAAATCTGTAAACTGTTTCTCTTTTCATAAAAGAGAGGAAATCTTTTTTTTTCCTATAAATTTTCAGATATATCAGTAAAATAAACAAGCAATTTCCCTGCCTAATTCTCAATGGGCTCTTTCACTAATTTTTGAAATTGGCATATTTGGATAAAGCAACTAAAAACAGAATTTTCTGTATTTTTAGTTTTGAAAAATTCATAGTCCTTCTTGAGAAAACAGAAAAAAAAGAAATACCTCCAAATAAAAACCCAGAATTTATTTCTATGACGTCGCAGCTCGCAACTTGCCCGTATTGCCACTAATTGTCAACATTGAAAATTTGTAATAGATTTAATTCTAAAATTTTGGCAAAATATCATGAAAAGTAGTTAAATTAATT